TGACAACATATCTATATACTTCGTATTAATCTGATCAAATAAATTTTGTCGGAAAAGTAACTACAATGTTATTTATTGTTGTTATTACATTGTTTAGAGCATGAAACTAAAAACTTACTATCATTTCTTTCTGTTTTAAGCAATTCGAAGTATTTTGTCATATACACAAACCCACACAAAAATCAAATGAGAAAACATTTTCGGGCCAGTAACATAGACTGGTGTATAGGACCATTACCATACATAGGGGCATCTGCAACACTACAAAAAAACACGGACTTTGTCACAGATTTTTTCACGGATCTCAGTTTAAAAAATCCGTGACAAAAAATATTTGTCATAAACTTTGTCACGGCATTATCCGTGACAACCATTCCGTGGCTATAAGTTTTGTCACAGACAATATCCCGTGACAAACTTTAGCATATAAGTTTTGAGCATAATCTCCCCACCCACTCATCTCGTTAGGGACGTTACGAGACAAACCTACTGGTTGTGATAAAAGTGATGGATCGAAAGGTTCGCCATGAGAAGTCCAACTGTAATAATTGTCAACGAAACCTTTTTCGTACAAATGGCACACAACCTCGTCGGGGTCTGATAATTTTTTAAATGACTTTTAAGACATCAATTAATTTTTTTTTTACTAACTACTTTTTATACACGTATTATGAATTTTGTCAATGGTATTTGCATGACAAGCCCATAACTGTTTTTATGATTTATAAAAACTAAAAAAATTATATAAAATCTTTTATACATAATTTTTAATGTATTAATAAACTAAAATACTTACAACCGTCATAAGTAAAAAATATACTAGGATATATTCTGTAACAAAAATTAACGATTTTTTTTAAATATTAATGTCATCATCATACTTAAAATACTAGTGATCACTTCATTGTAAGAGGTAATGCATCTTAAAAAAAAATCACAGTAAATAAGAGGCACCTAAATTTCAGAAAAATGGAACGTTGGATAACATTCATGGCACCTAAATTACTAAGCCACAATCTACTAGTAAATTAGAGGCTAAGAGCATCTATGGTGAGGCCTAAACATAATAGCTGAATTAGCTATGCAAAATAAAACAAAAAATCTGATTAAATAAAATAAAGAAACTAATATGGAGCATCTAAAAATGAAGGCAAAGTATGAGCAGTGGGACTAAATTGTAACGCCCCCTCTCAGGGTTAAAGGAAACGTTACATAAACTTACTACTTAAAAAAAACTGCAATATAACGACCGTTTGTTTAAGAAATAACCCTGATAGAATCTCAAATATAACTAAAATATAACTCCAAATAAAAACTCAATAAAATCTAGTTATCACTAGCAAATGTGATAACCACCTGGATCCGGGAATTTATTCAAACTTCAATTCTCAAATAAAATAAAGTAATAATAAATTTTTTATTCTAACAACTGAAATGCTGGAGTAAATAAAAACTAGCTAGAAGCCGTCAAGGTCGTTCCCGTTAACTTATCTTGGCAAGCGTTCCACTCCCTCATCATCTTCATAGGCCTTGGTCTTACCCTTAGTATCTGTACACGCGAAGAAAGAAAACTGATAAACTTTACGCTTAGTAAGTCACTATGAATCCACAAAAATATCTGAGAAGTCTATGCTAATTTATCAATGGTGCACTAAACAATAGATAAATTTATTAGTAAGTCACTATGAATCAATAGATAAATTTAGGCTATAATTAAGCATGCACTAAACAAACAACTAACAGATAGCTTCTCAAATAAATTCTAGGAGAGATCCCCAAAAGAAAATATTTTCTAAAATAATTTCTCAAAACTGCTGGAGAGATCTCAAACTTCCTTTCTCAAAAACATTTCTTAAAACTTTCTGAAAGAGATCTCAGAAACAACTTTCTGTAAAACTTTTTGAAAGGGATCTCATAAACTTTCCGTAAAACTCTGTGTGGCTAATTTTTAACTGTGGGCCCGTGATATGTACTCAAAGGCGCCAATCCGACAGCTCAGGGGAGCGACCCACTAAACATATCGGACTCTCTGAAACTCTGATAACTCTGTGGGAACTTGTTCCCGAGTACATATCACTTAATCTTTCACTTTAAATATTAGTTCTTCTTACGGTGACGTATGGATAAAAACATCATTAAAATCTTAAAATAAAAGTACTGACATAATCTTGACTATGCCAAATAATAAACATAACTTAATACGAAAAATAAAATGACTCATCAAATAATTCACCAAGCTCAAATAAGAGCAAATAGTCTAAAATCATCTACTAAAAATCAACTAGACTTCTTTCTTTTATTTGATTGAACAAACATGTACAGGTGGTGTGAACTTACCTGTTAACAGCTGAACTCAAAATATTCAAATAAGTGTAGCACCTTGATAACGTCTTCCAGCAAGCTCTTCTCTTAAATCTTTCATTAAATGAAATGATACAATAAGAAGCTACTAGTGACTAAACATGACTGTTACGGAGGCTTTACTACTGTGTAACTGGAAATCCCCATGAGAAAACTTAATTTATTTGATCTTTTAATATTGTAGACCTGTTAAAGCTAAACTGAATGGGGTAATCAACTTTACTTAATACGATAGTACGATAATATTACTATCAAAATCCATGATACTTTGAATCAGAGCTCTATAACTAACTTTGTATGTTTGCTGACTAAAACATCAACTAAATGTTCCTTATCTATTATAATCAAATTGGGAGTCAATTGTAAAAGAATGATCTAGACAACCCCTCCCTGGGCCTATACTAAACAATTCATTTTGAATCAATATATCCAAGTTCCAGATGGAGAAGATACGGCAGTACCATAGTCATCCGAAATTAATTGAACTTGCTATCATTCTGTTTAAATTCTCGGAGAAGGAAAATAAGGTGTCTGTTCTATAAATTGAAAATAAACCTCCCCAAATCCGAGTGAAATAGCAACAGCACCTAAAGCTTAAAATTTAACCTTCAAGTTATACAAAAGTTTTGTTTGTTCTGAAAGCAAACAACAACAATATGACCCGTTTAAAACGTAGACGAGCTGCCTGGGTTTAACAACAGTAGCAATGAAATTGGTTTTGTCTTTGAAATACTAATTCGGAAACAAGATTAATTACTAATAACATAGACTAAAATCAGAGTAGCTCCTGGGCAGTCACTTTTTTTTTTGTAAACGCACTCTATTTTAAGAGAACAACATTAGGAAAACAATAGATTTGAAGGAGACCTAGAAAAACACTTAATTATTTGAACACAAAATAGCGTTAACCAAACTGGGACCAAAGGGCTGAAACAATCATGGCCAACAAGAGAAAGCATGGAAGCAAGATATAAATGACATACCATTCTCAAGTTGTCACTAAAACTGCGACTATTGCTTCAATGGGAGGGTTGAAGGAGAAGAGAAGTTCCTAGCAGAGAAATCAGATAGATCGGTGTTCGGATGCTATGTGGGAGAGGATATGTGCGGATTCTTTCTACGGTCTTAGGCGTATAAGTATACATAGCATTAATCCTAGGGCTTTTATTATCAAAAACATTACTTATTTGGGCTAAGATTGATTTGGGCTCCTAATATTCTTTAAAAAAAAATCCAACATTAAAAGTATTCTCTCTATTTCCAAATAAACTGATCAAGCTTTAAAACATTACTTATTTCTTCACTTCAAATTATTAGAGCTTACCGGTCAACGTTACCTGCCAGAACAACATGTGATCAAACAATAAATCACATTAGTCATAGAAGAAACTTATTTAACTAACTAAAACAAATAATATTGATTAATATAACTAGCTTATAAAAATTGGGGTGTTACAAAATTAGCGGCAAAACTCAATATCAGTAGGAGCCATTGGGAATAAATAGCAGCTAAAACCTAATTTTAGTACGGGTTGAAATAAAAAGTAAAAAAAAAACTAGCAACAACCCATTTGATGAATTGACATAGACTTGCACATATGAGTTGAAATCCATTCATTATTCTTTCATAGCATCAAAACGTCAATTTGGCAGAGCCTTGTTCATTATTCTTGACCATACGAAGTCATTAAAGAAACAACTATGTAGTTCATTAATTGGTTGAAAGAAATAAATAGAAAACGGAAATCTGTTCAAGAGGGAATACAGAGATTGAGAAAACCTGGAGAGCAAAAGTATGCAGTTTTTTTGTCGAGAAGGAGAATTAGTGAAGAGAAGGGAGGCAGTGTAGAATTATGTGTGGGTGATTAGGAAAATTGGGCGAGAAACTGAATCAGTCGATGTCTACACACCAAGTTTTGTGTCTTTTTATAATTTGGCTGTTTGGATAAAAAGCTAAATAAAAAAGTCATGTTACCAAACGCCCTATTAGCTGATTCATCTAGTCAAAGTGCCAAATATTGATCAAAATAACCAAAAAATGGTTGATAGGTTATTAACCAAACATCCCCTTCATCCTCTTCATACTCACAAGGAAACGTAAGATATAATGATAGCTCGTTAATTGAGTTATACACAATAATGAGAGTAGATTTATTTTTCTCAAAAAATGAATGGGTTACCCTAAAGTATAAACTCGATAGAGAATAGAAATCCTTTTTTAAAAATGCAGTTTTATCAAATAGGACGTTACATTGTTATCATTCAAATTGTTCCCGGTGTATTTATCATTGATATGATTGGTTAAATCTTTATTACATCATTTATTTATATTTAAATTATTTAATTATCATATTTTTATTGATCCTTGGGTATAGAATATTGTACATTGAGGATGTCATAGAATTTACCTTCTTTTATCTTTTAATATAAGTAAATTAATCTTAAGAAGAATACGTATGTAATCCTATTTTAGAAATTTGAGTGCATTTTCGTCCTAATTTGAGCCGTTTTTAAATTAATCTTCTTACCTGGACCTTCGATTGATGTGTACTGTTTGGACCGTCAGATTACAAGCTCTATGATGTTCCGCGTGGAACCCCAATGTACTGCTTTACTTCCTTCTTTTTTTAAATTTCTGTTGAAACGTGTCCGGGAACTCGCTGCTCTATTTATGTCCCCGTACGTTTCTTCTTCTCCTATCCTTTTTATTTAAATAATAATAAGCACAATAAAAATATCTCTGGCAGAAATTCAGCTGCAAATTTCAAGGAATAACTTCGGCAGCTCGGCATGTTAACTTTATATGCTTCAGGTTGAAGTTTGTGTCTTAATTTTCTTATTTATTGAGATAATTTATATTCTCTAGGATGTGTTTTTGATACATATAATATGTATAGCTCAGCAAATCCACTTTGAATTCTCAAAGATTCAATTTTTATTTCTATTCTCTCTCTAGAAACTTCTGTATTCGTGTATTGTCCTGAAATTTAATTAATATAATAATTTGGTATTGAAGCCTGAAGCTTATCTCTTTCTATCTGTCGTTGTCTGTGTAACTCTGCTTTCCATCACTACGGTTTTGCAATTGGTAGCTGAAATTATTTGGGATCGTCGGTATAAAGCTCTCCTGGCCTTTGTGGTTTAAGAGGAAGGAAGAAAAAGAAGAAGAGTTTCAGAAATGGGAGTTGAGGACTTGTTTTTTAACAAGTTGATGGTTAGCAGCAATAGCTGTTATGGAGGAAGAGGAGGAGGGGGAGAAATGATCAAGGAGTGGAAGGACATACCGGCGGAGTTGCTGTTGAGGATTGTATCTCTGCTGGATGATCGGACGGTTATTGTGGCTTCTGGTGTTTGCACTGGCTGGAGAGATGCCATTTCTTGGGGTCTTACCGAACTTTCCCTTTCTTGGTATGATTTTTTCATTGAATTTTCTCTTTTCTATCTAGTTTCTGCCTTTTTTATTTTTTTTTTAAAAAGTGGGTGTATAAATTCCTTTTATTTTACTTTCTTGAAAATGAAACTAAGAATTCTTGTTCTGAAATAATATATTCCATAGAGCAGATAGAATAAATTGACTGTCCTATGACCTTGTCATAATTAAGAATCAAAATCCCCCACCCTTGTAAAAGGTTCTCTTATGTGTAGGGTTCATCCATCACCCTTCATTCCTACAGTGGGCTGGTCCCACTACAAAAACGAATGGTGATCATGGTGGCAGCAATTAGGCTCCACAATAGAGCCAGATAAGGTCCCCCTCAGAATTACTCATGCTCTCATGTGATCCATTTAGGACAACCAAACATGTTTAAGCTTTATGTGCATATATGTGAATCAGTGTATGTATTACAAAATAGATTATTAATACATGTTTATGAACAGGTGCAAAAAGAAGATGAACCAGTTGGTATTATCACTAGTTTGCAAGTTCACAAACCTGAGGGTTCTGGTTCTTAGACAGGGTTTCCCTCAACTTCAAGATAATGCAGTTGAGGCCATTTCAAACTGTTGTCATGAATTGCAGGACTTGGATCTCAGCAAGAGCTTTAAGCTGACGGACCGCTCCCTATATGCTCTTGCCCAAGGTTGCCCTAACCTCACAAAGCTAAACATAAGTGGGTGCTCGGCTTTCAGTGATAGTGCCATTGCATACCTTTCTGAGCATTGTAGGAAGCTTGAGGTCTTTAATCTCTGTGGCTGTGTTAGGGGTGCTACTGATAAAGCCCTCAAGGTATGGTTATCCCAAATCTGCAAGTCTCATCCTTTTTCCTTTTTATGTTGATTTGGTATTATGATATTATGGAATACTTCCCATTTATTGTGAGTCGTTTGAGTCGGGTATAACTTTGAACTAAACTAAACAATGGGTCCATTATGAAAAGATAACATGATAGGAGAAGTATACCAAAATCAATATATTGGTGCTAATGAGGGACAAACACTTCACGCACCCTTTCATCCGGATCCAGTAATGTTAATTATTTTTAGTCACAATGGAACATGCTGAACCCAATATATCATTTATACTGTTTTTTAAAGGGATACCTTCGCGGGCCGACACCTCGTCCAGATTGTGTGTGTTTTATCTATTTTTCGTAAGGGCTTACATCATGGCCACAGATTTGATCAATTGTTATGACTTGGGAGTTCTATACAAAAAGGCAGTCAAGCTTTATAAGAAAAACTGCCGAAGTTGTTTTGTGTTGGTTTCTTTTATATTTAGCTAATTGGGATAAACTCTTCAACAAAACCTCAATCTTTTGAGTAGATTTCTTGTGGGTGGGGAACTAGATCAATGTAACATACTTTCATAGTGCTTTGGGATATCCCGTTTGAAGTTGGTTTATGAATTATGACACCAGCTAATCATATTTGGCTAGAGGATTTGTGTCAATCATCTCAGAGACTCAGATAGGTGTTTTGAGTCTAGTATTACCTACATATGCATTAATGCCTTGATTCTTATAAATTACTTCCTTTTCTGCTCAGGCAATTGGGTATTTCTGCAACCGGCTGCGGTCAGTGAACTTGGGGTGGTGTGATGAGGTTAGCGACGAAGGCGTGATGAGCCTGGCATACGGTTGTCCTGACCTGAGGGCGCTCGACTTGTGTGGATGTGTCCTAATAACAGATGAGAGTGTGATTGCACTGGCAAATAACTGCCCTCACCTCAGATCACTCGGCCTCTACTACTGCCAGAACATAACCGACAGGGCCATGTACTCTCTCGCTCACAAGCACGAGATTTGGCCATCCATGAAAAAGAAGAAGAGCAGCAGAAAGAACGCGGGCGAGGAGGGGCTTATGAATCTGAACATCAGCCAGTGCACGGCCCTCACCCCGCCAGCAGTTCAGGCAGTTTGCGACTCCTCTCCTGCCCTCCACACCTGCCTGGGCCGTCATTCCCTCATCATTAGCGGCTGTTTGAATCTGACCTCTGTGCACTGTGCGTGTGCGGTCCAAGCACACCGAGCTCACACAGTGTTTCCTCATACTGCTCATTGAGTATAACTTACTGATTACTGGCAGGTTCCAAAGAATGTTCATGTGTATAGCTGCTAGTCTCTTGTAGGAACGAACAACTTGAGTTTCCCGTGGTTGTGGACATTATGGTTATGGTAATAGACCTTTGATACTATTAATTAATTATACATTTTATTATTTTACAAATGATAAAATAATGCTACATATCTTTCTCTATACAAAGGGAAGTGGAATGGCTGCCACTTTTCCCGCCTAAAGTCACGGTTCCGGTCGGGTGACTCGGGTTCCAAGCTTCGAGTACTGGGAGAAACCAGTTCTAATATGGGTGCAATTGACCGTAGGATGCAATTTGTCAGATTTCTCAATTGTTGTTTACTTAGTTCGAACTTTAAATCAAATTTGACTCACATTTGTAAAATCTTTTGTTCAGCAATCCCAATGTGAAATGTACGAAGTTTTGTGGTTTAAATCACATGCTGAAGTTGATAATTTACCTTGGATGCTGCATTTGCATTTAATGTTCTCGAGATTGCAAATAGCTTTACAGCTGATATATTGTCTTGGAAACATCCAATCACACTTTTATTGACATAGATACAGTATATTGTTTAGTGGATAATGGATATAACAAATTCGGGGAATGAATAAGCAGATTACGAATCAACTACAGAGTATAAATATAGATTATTGAGGAGAGCAAACCACAAAACTAAACACAATGCTGACTATGCATATAGAAAGGGAATGGGCTATTATAATGACAACCATCTTAAAGGGAAGACAGATGGAAACATCCTTCGCTAGGAGGTATCAGTGGTTAAAAAGCTTTTAGATTTCTACTATAGTAATTCTTATTATTAACTATAGTAATTCTTATTATTAATTACGACATATATGAACTAATTTTTTTTTACCAGATTTGGCAGAGGAGAAGATTTGGCTACATTTACAGCTAATTCACACCATTAAGAGCGTGACTACTTTGTTTATTGAAACTTTGTTTTAAAATAGTATATGTGGTACAAACATTTCATCCCATTATTTTATGGTCCTATTTCAGGAAGGTGATCACTTTTTGCTTGGAAACCTATTCCAGAGGTGGGGAGATATTAGAAGTCATTTTCCAGGCTTTAGAGCCTTAGAAGTATATCATTTGCCCCTTAAATTTCTTTGAAAATAATGCAAGTAGAGTTTTGTGTCTTCCTCAGTGATGTTCATCTATGGTTAGCATTCACTAAGATTAACAAGGAGGACATACTCATGCGCCAATGGCCCAACAGGTAATCAGAGTGAGGTTCGATCTATATAAGCAGTTCTTATCTTTCCTATTTTTTTGTTTACTTTCTAACAGTTTGATAAACACGGATGTTGGCAACTGGCAAGTGTGGGAAACTATATATCTCAAACATATAGAATCAGTGGCAAGAATGAATGGTAAAAACTCAAAAGGTGTAACCACGGCGTTTTAACACTTAGATTACATAATGTCAAAATTAACATCGGATTTTGGTACAACCATGAGGTTCATACAAACCAATACTTTAATAAGATCAAATCAGTTTTCAATAAAAATCAGTTTTAAAATTTAACATATAAGAACCACGAGTATCGCACTAAAGATGGATATTAGTCCTACATATCCGGAGATTGGTTAGTTTTTCTTGCATAACCAGGGATTATAAGCAGGCCTTGATAACCATTTAAATTGTACATGACAATTATTGATGGAGTATATGGGTCTGAGCCCCCGGACCCACATACTCGGAAGAACAGAAAGCACAAGACAACAGAGTGGCGCCCTCGTCGGCCAAGACGCCCCTGTCGACCGAAAAGGGGCCAACTCGGATTATGGTCCTGAGTCCAAGGAACCCGGGTGCCCTCGTCGGCCGTGCCCTCGTCGGCCGTGCCCTCGTCGGCCACGCCCTCGTCGGCCATGAAGACCTCACAGAATCGGATTTTATACTTATTCATTTGTACAGCCCATTAGTGGCTTTGTATTCGGCCCAGTAGCGGTCCAGTTGTAAATGGGCCTCCCAAGCCCAAGACTTGGGAGCCCAACCCTAATTTTCTCTATAAATACTCCCCTTGGGAGTAGTTATAGGAGTTACAAATTCATTCTATTGAAGCATATTATTGCACTTCTCTCTTTAGCTCTCACTTCTCTCTAGATATACTCTATCATTTGGTGCTCTCGTTGAGAGCTAGAACAATCAAGTTAGCACCCTTCGTCGCTACCAAGCACAGCTAACCACTGATCATGGGGAGAACTAAGTCAAACCGCAACCTCGTCAGCAAAGTCATCCCTGAGGACCAAGAGCCCAGGGAGCACGAGGAGGACGCCACGGCCGACCAGGCCGGCGGAGGGGACCTCTTCCAGGAGGCCTTCAACCTCACGACGGACCTCCGCAACCAACTCAACGGCGGAGTCCCCGACGCCCGCCTCGGCCTGGACAAGAAACGAGCTGAGAAGACGGACCACGCCCCGGCCCAGCCTATGGCCGCGGCCTCTCCGTCCGTGGACCCACAGGTCCAGGCCGCGCTGTCGGTCATCATCGCCAGCCTGGCTCAGAACCCCACCATCCTCAGCGCACTCTTGCCAAGGACCGGGGGAAACGTCACTCCACCTCCTCATCCCCAACCGTTGGCCGTCCAGATAGGCAACAATGAGGGGGTAATGGCCCAGGACACGGCGTCGTCCCACTCCCACCCTGCTTCCCCTCTTCGGCCCGGGCAGACCCCAGCGCGTGGAAAAGCCTCTGCCTTCAATAGGCTAGGTGACACGCGCCGTCGTCCGGTTTCGGAGAGGATGGCGGGACGGATTGGTGATCCTCGTCCTGGCTCGCCAAGGGAAAGCTTGGGGTCTGTGTCCCGGACAGCGGACCAGCCCTGCCCGGACAAGGGCAAGGGAAAGTTGCACGAGGATGACGTGCGTCACCAGATCAACGCGGCTCACAACGACCGCATGAGGAACCAGCCGGGCGCCGCCGCGGCCGACAGGGACCCCCGGGACGAGGTCATCGCCCAGCTGGAAAGGAGGCTGGCTCAGATGGAGGCTAAGCAGTCGGCCAACATCCCTACGGCCGGCGCCTCCTGTTGGGCCGCGGGTATGCGGTGCCAGCAACAGCCAGCCTGCCGGTGCAATCGGACCGCGTGGCGCTTCGCTTGTGCTATAAAGGGGGAGGAGTGTGCTTCACTATCAGCAATTGCTTTTGGTGTAGCGGTAAGCGCAACGATCCACAAGTGGTATCAGAGCCAAGGTCACGGGTTCGACCCCCGGCAACAGCATGCTGCGCAGTTGTAGGCTGGCAGGTGCTGGGGGGGAGATTGTTGGGCCGCGGGTATGCGGTGCCAGCAACAGCCAGCCTGCCGGTGCAATCGGACCGCGTGGCGCTTCGCTTGTGCTATAAAGGGGGAGGAGCGTGCTTCACTATCAGCAATTGCTTTTGGTGTAGCGGTAAGTGCAACGATCCACACCTCCAACGACCCCGGCCTCGACGCGCTCATGAACAAAGTTAGCGCCCTGGAGAGGGAGCTGGCCGAAGGGCGAGGTGACCCCATCATCCAGGTCAGGACCAGAACCCCTTTCACTAACAGGGTCCTCTCGGCCCCCATCCCGGAGAAGTACAGGGGGAACGCCATCAAGTCCTACGATGGCCGATCAGACCCCCAGGAGCACTTCAGCCGTTACCAGAACAACATACTGATGGTGAACGCGTCCGACGAATACCTCTGCCGTTGGTTCCTCTCTACTCTCGAGGGGCCAGCGTACGAGTGGTTCAACGGGCTCCCAGAAGGAAGCATCGACTCATGGCAGGATCTCGCCCAGCGCTTCCTCACTCACTTTGTCGGGAGGAAGCGCGCCAAGAAGTATTTCATCCACCTCCTCTCCGTCAAGCAGCAGCACGAGGAGTCCCTCCGGTCATTCATCGATCGGTGGACGAGGGAGACCGAGGAGGTCGAGGGGGCCGATGAGCGCACCCTCCTCGCCTTGTACCAGGGAGCCCTCCGCAGCTCCCCGTACGCTAGGAGCCTCATCACCGACCCCCCGAGGTCGTACGCCAAGGCGCTCCAGCGCGGAGGCTTGTATGCCGACGCCGACGAGCTCCACAATCACAAGAGAGAGGGGGGCCATCCCCCCAAGAAGACAAATCCTTCGTCGGCCCCGGGTCCGTCCCCGACCGGCCAGGGTTCCCAGGGCCGCCACGGCTCTGGTGGACAGAGTAAGAAGGATCGCCACTGGCGGCCGAGGCTGGAACGGCCGGGGGTAACCCTCACCCACCCGGTCGGCACCATCCTCGATTATGCCGAGAAGCACGGCCTCATCGAGCAGGCTCCTCGGCCGGCCGAGGAGGTCCTTGCCATCCAGCAGGGCGGCACATACTGCCGGTTCCACAAGAACTCGTCGCACAACACCGACGATTGCATCACACTGAAGAAGGCCATCGAGCACCTTATTCGCCAGGGGGAACTCTCCCAGTTTGTCAAAGGTGGCCCGCGCAAGAACACTTGGGTAAACACCGGCAAACATGGGGGCGAACCCTCTGCGAAAAAGCGGGAGATTGATAGGCTCAGCGACGACGAGGACTTCGAAGAGCCCCCGCCGAAGAAGAATCACATCCACCTCATCGTAGGTGGGAACACTGGGGGGGGACTCCGCCACTCAGAGAAAGAAATGGGCCCAATCCCTTTACATTGGGGAGGTGTCCCACGTTCCCCCCCAGCCGAAGAAGCAGCGAACGGAGGCGATCACCTTCACCGACAAGGATCTGCCTCCGGGTACGAAATCACACAGGGACGCCCTCGTCATCCGATGTGAGATCGGTGACTCCATCATCCACCGTACTTACATCGATACGGGGAGCTCCGTCAACGTGATGTACCTGGACACCTTCAAGCAGCTGAAGCTGGACAGAGCCCTGCTGAAGCCGATCAAGACACCGTTATCCGGCTTCACCGGGGACTCTATCGACGCCGAGGGCACGATAGTCCTCCCCGTGGAGGTCGGTGAAGGCCCCCACCACGCCAGAATTAACATGGAGTTCATGGTGGTCAACCTCCAGTGCGCCCACAACTTGATCTTGGGGCGGCCAGCACCGGAGGACTTGGAGGCCATCATCTCCATGAAGCACTTGTGCCTGAAGTTCCCCACCAACGACGGCATCGGCTACGCCAGAGGAAACCAGAGGATAGCCAGGGCATGCTACCTCAAACTGATAAGGCCGGCCGAGAGGGAGGGCCAGAGGATAGACACCATCACGGCCGCCGTCGCCGCCGACGAGGAAAGGTCACATGCTGAGCCGGCCGAGGAGGTTGACGAAATCCCTCTGGATACCTCCCGGCCGGAGCGGGTTCTCCGGGTCGGAAAGCAACTCCCCCAGGACCAACGAGACGCCATCCTCCTCGTCCTACGGTCATACGCCGTTGTCTTCGCGTGGGGCCCGGACGATATGCCAGGCATCAGCCGCCAGGTGATCACTCACCGGCTGACCGTCGATCCGGCCTCCGCGCCTGTCAAACAGAAGCGGCGCTACTTGTCCGCCGACAGGCGGGACTTTGTCAAAGGGGAGGTCGCCATGCTCCTCTCAATCAAACACATCAAAGAGGTGAAGTACCCGACATGGTTGGCCAACGTCGTCCTCGCACAGAAACCGCCGACGTTCAGAATGTGTGTTGATTACACTGACCTGAACAAGGCATGCCCCATAGACCCATTCCCTCTCCCCAACATTGATCAGCTGGTGGACGAGACGGCGGGGTGCGAGTTGATGTCGTTCCTCGACGCTTTCAGAGGGTACCACCAGATCTCCATGCATGAAGATGACGCTGAAAAGACGGCATTCATGACCCCAGAGGGAATCTTTTGCTACCTCGTCATGGCCTTCGGACTCAAAAACTCCGGCGCCACCTATACTAGGATGGTGGCCAAGATCTTCAGAGCGGTCCTTGGCCGGACGATGGAGGCGTACGTCGATGACATGATCGTCAAGAGCAGGCAGGCCACCTCCCACGCCGACGACCTCCGGGAAATCTTTGAAATAATGAAGGAGTTCAGGCTCCGCCTCAACCCCAAGAAGTGCGCCTTCGGCGTCCAAGGCGGCAAGTTCCTCGGCTACATGGTCAGCCGGAGAGGCATCGAGATAAACTCGGAGAAGACGCAGGCTATCATCAACATGGAGCCGCCCCACAACGTCAAGGAGGTACAGCGACTGACGGGGCGCCTGGCGGCTTTAAACCGATTCCTCTCCAGGTCAGCCGAGAGGGCACTCCCTTTCTTTCAGATCATGCGGAAAGCCAACAGCTTCAAGTGGACGACGGAGTGCCAGGAGGCATTCGACGAATTGAAAAGGTACCTGTCGTCCCCACCCGTGCTCTCCAAGCCCAAAGCCGGCGAAACCCTCTTCTTGTACTTAGGGGTGAGCACGTCGGCCATCAGCTCCGTGCTCATCCGTGAGGACGAAGGGGTGCAAAAGGCCATCTTCTACATCAGCAAGACACTCAGGGAGGCCGAGCTCAGGTACTCCCCCATTGAGAAGACGGTGTTGGCCATCGTCCACACGGTGAAGAAGCTGGGGCACTATTTCCAGGCCCACACCGTCCATGTGCTGACCCAGCAGCCTCTCGACGCACTCATGAGGAGCCCCACCAGCTCCTCAAGGATGGTGAAATGGGCGATCTTCCTCAGCCAGTTCCAAATTGAGATCAAGCCAAGGCCATCCATCAAAGGGCAAGCCTTGGCCGACTTCGTCATCGAATGCACAGGAAGGGAGACGGCCGTCGCCAACCCCGGGCCGGAGCAGGACGATACATGGACCCTGTTCACTGACGGCTCGTCGGCCGCGAAATCATGCGGCGGCGGCGGCGTCCTCATATCCCCTGAAGGATTCAGAGCTTACTACGCCATCCGCTTCAACTCCAGGGTATCCAACAACGAAGCCGAGTATGAGGCCCTCCTCAGCGGTCTCAGACTCGCCGCCGGCCTCAAGGCCAAGCACCTCAAAATCAAGCGCGACTCCAAACTGGTAGTGGGCCAGGTGGAGGGATCGTACGAAGCAAAGGAAGGACGGATGAAGCAGTACAAACAAGCGGCGGAGGAGTTGCTGAAAGCGTTTGAAACCCACGAGATCACTCAGATCCCCAGGGCCGAGAACGCTGAAGCCGACATCCTCTCCAAGCTCAGCTCGGACACCCCGGAGCACATCTCCCAGTTGGCCAAGATCGAGGAGTTGAGCATGTCCAGCATCCATGTCAGCCTCGTCCTGTGCGTCCAACAGCGACCAGAGGACTGGATCTCCGACATCGCCACCTTCATCACAACGGGGGAGCTGCCCCCGGATGAGGAGAGGGCCAAACTTGCCAAACTCAGGGCCCCAAGCTACACCATCGAAAATGGCAAACTCTACAAACGGTCCTATAATGGCACTCTCCTCTGATGCCTGCACCAGGACGAGGCCGACACAGCCATGGAAGAAGTTCATTGTGGCGTCTGCTCCTCACACCAGGGCCCTTTCAGCATGTCCCGGCATCTCGTCGTCCAGGGCTTCTTCTGGCCGACGATGGCACGCGACTGCGCTGACCTGGCCAGGAAGTGCACCACATGCCAGGTACTCCAGAAGGCCCCTGGTCGGCCAGCTGTCAACTACGCCCCCGTCAGCACCGCAATCCCATTCTCCAGATGGGGGATTGACCTGGTCGGCCCCCTGCCCAGAGCCGCCGGGAATAACCGCTACATCATCGTCGCCGTCGACTACTTCACCAAGTGGGTCGAGGTGGAGCCCTTGGCCAGCATCACGGGGGCCAGATGCCAAAAATTTGTTTACAAGAACATCATCACACGCTTTGGCGTCCCCCAGGAGATTATATCAGACAACGGCACCCAATTCGAGGCAGCCCCTTTCCAAGAACTCCTCCGGGAGTTTGGGGTAAAGCATCGTTTCTCCTCCGTTGCCTACCCTCAGGGCAACGGGCAGGTCGAGAACGCCAACAGAACAATTATGGAGGGGCTGAAGAAGAAGCTCCAGGCCGCAGGAGGTAGTTGGGTCGACGAGCTCCCCAACATCCTGTGGTGCTACAGAACCACGCCGAGGAGGGCGACAGGTGAAACGCCTTTCGCCCTATGCTACGGCTTCGAGGCAAAGGCACCCACGGAAGTTTCCATCCCCAGCCGACGGGTGGAACAATACGAGCCTGACGCCAATGAGGAAAGCATGAAGATTGACCTGCACCTGGTCGATGAGAGGCGTGAGCAAGCTTACGTCCGAGCAGAGAACTACCGGCGTCAAGTGAAATCATACTATGACGCCAAGGTACGTTCCCGGGAATTTCAGGTGGGGGACTACGTCCTCCGCCGAAGGGAAGCAAGCCAGCCGACAGAAGGTGGCAAGCTAGCATTGAAGTACGAAGGGCCCTATATCGTCAGTGCCGTGGTCAAACCCGGCACCTACAAGCTTAAACGCCCAAATGGGTCCAATGTACCACGAACATGGAATGTACACCATCTGGTGAAGTTTTATCAGTAATCCGAAGGAGGTGTAGACGGCGAAGCCCTCACCCCTTAACGGGTTACTGATTGAACGCCACCCTCGGCCTTGAGCCACTTATGAATAAAATCATGTTCTGATTTTTTCTCTGGAACTCAAAGTAAAACATTAGCAAGTGCCCCCGTCGGCCACCTTAGAGCGAAAACCTCAGGCATGGGCGAGATGGCCCCTTGCATTTGCAGCCTACGAGCGACAAGCTCCGACACTCCATTGTATTTTGTATCAGCGAAGGGCTCAGGCCTAGCTGAGAGAGCACATCGTCCTGGCCCCGTAAGCCTAGAAGTGAAACGCTCAGGTATGGCCGACGATGTCCCCAGGACGAGGGGCCCGCAAACGGCCCACGTCTTGAAACGGGAAGCTCACCGCGTCGTCCACGCGCCAGATCGCAGGACGACAGGCCTGAAATCATGGCCGAGGTGACAAAATCCCAAAACTCAGGGATGGGCAACGACAGCCGTTGGAAACCGACCAAAAGTCTAGCCCGCGTCATAAATAGGCGACGGGACCCGCCCTGAGATCACGGACGTTATAAACGAAGTCTGAACCGGCCGAAGGACGAGCACACCCTTCGGCCGAAGCCTGAAAGAAGGATACTCCCCGGAAACAAAATATATATATATATATATATATATATATATATATATATATATATATACATGGGAAAAAGAGGGAAGCTGACGGCCGCGCAGACTGGCTGGCCTCGAGCAATGAAAAAATAAAATCCCCACAACTCAGGCCCAACTAGGCCAAGTACATATCAGTTGAATACAAGTATAGTACCACTGACAGGTAACATGGACGACACGTCCACGCGCTACAAGGGAATAATCAAGGCTGACACACACGCCTATAAAACCCTAACCGCATCGGTTGGGTGACACGCGACAGGTGACCTTCATCGGCCACAGTCCTTTGAAACACCAACGCTTGGTATGAAACAAAGAACCACAATCCTGAGGATGACCAGGACGACACGGGCACTTATCACACCCACGGAGGAATCAAGCAATCAAAAACAATCCCCACTTACTACAGCACCCCGGATAGCCGATGCAGGCACCGGAACCTAGGCTGTTGCTGAAGCGAAATATCTTTGGGAATGTGTCCAAGTATCTACTAAACACTTAGAGAAAATTTTGAGAAAAAAAGGTTCCTCAAGAAGGAACTATGGCCAGCCGACGAAGGTAGAGCCATCTCGGGAAAGCAAGGGCCCCCCTCATTGGCCACAAGGCCAGACCTTGGCCGATGAGGGTAGGGCCACCTCCAAGCCAACAGCGGTACCACAAGGAAGCAACTATGCCTTACATCTGTACTTAGAAAATTCTCTAAGTACTTAAATGAAGGAACTCTAGACGAAGCGTGTACCTTTATACCCCAGGGCCGTTAGCTACCTACACCTCTGCATGTGTACTTAGAAGAATTCTAAAGTTCAAAAGATCAGGGTGAAGGTGCCCTTCTCGGCCACAACGCAAAGGATACAAGCCGAAAACGACACTGGCTCAAACACTTGGGAAATCTCCCAGAGCATTCGTCAAAAATGATGAATCCAAGGCCAGGACGTTGAGAACGCTCAGCCACTTGAATTCCAAAAGATAAGAAAGCCAACGCCTGGACGGAGCGGACACCACGGTCAAGGCTGAAAAGGGAAGCACCTAAAGGGATCCAAAAACACTTGGGAAATTTTTTAAAAAATCCTAAGTGTTATGATAGCAAAGGAACACCGGTCAGGCCGACAAAGCCACCAGGCCGGAAAGAAAGCAACTTCGTGGTTTCAAAACACTTAGGAAACTTTTGAAAAAAATCCTAAGTGTTATGGTAGCCAAGAACCACCGGTCAAGCCGACAAGGCCACCAGGCCACAAGGAAATAACTGTAAGAACCCAAAAACACTTAGGAAATTTTTCGAAAGAATCCTAAGTGTTGTGATACTACATCAACACGGCCAGGCCGACCAAGCCACCAGACCGGGAAGAAGGCATCCAAGTGAACCCAAAACACTTAGGAAATTCTCTGAAAAAATCCTAAGTGTTATGGTAGTAAAGCAACGACGAACAAGCCGACCAGTCCACCGGACGGGGTGGACTACCCCATGGACGTAGCGGGCACTCGCGAGGCGACCCAAGTTGTGACCTTGCCACTTAGAAAAAATTTCAAAAACGAAATGACAAAAGGCAAACAAGCATACAAGGGATTCAAAGCCGAACAGGACGGCAAAAATTTTTTCATTGATGGTCAAGTTCATTACAATTGGGGGGCGCTACGGCCGTTACATCATTTGGGCAAAAAATTGAAAAACTAACTACAAAGGAATAGTCGATCAGGCCTCTGGGGGACCTCCATCTGCGGCTGGCTCTTCGGCCTCGTCGGCTCCCTCTTCAGCCTCAGTTTCCTGGCCGGCAGGGGCTGTAGCGCTGGTGGCATCGTCCAAAAAATCAAATTCAGTATAATCCGGCTCGCCGAGGCCAGAGCTTTCAATGGGGGACTCGCGCTCCGACAAGGGAAGCTTGGCCTGCTCTTCTGGATCCTTCATCAGCTTCGGCAGCTTCAGGTTCCGTCTAGCCCACCCAGACGTATAGTTCATGGCCTTCAAAGCACGAGAGAGCCGCCGACACAGGAGCCTTTGCATCCGCTCCTGGCCCATGTTATAATACACAGACATCTCTCGGCTGAAATACTCCTGGCCGGCGGGGGAGTTCATCCCCCAACTCTCAAGCCTGGCGGCCACCACCCCGTAGCACCAGGGAAGCCTCTCATCGGCCTTCCACCCCTCGGCCAGGAACTTCTCCACGGCCTCATCAGCAGCCCTCACAACGGCGGCCTCGGCCTCAGTCTTCGCCTTCACGGCCTCCTCACTCTTGCGCCGCTCGGCCTCCAGCGCCCTTTGGGACTCCTCGAGCTCCCTTTTTCTCTCCTCGAGCTTGGCCAGGGCATCGTCCCTGGCTGCGGCGGCTTCATCGGCCCTTGCCTGCAACGCCCTGGCATCCTCCCGGAGCCGATCTAGGCAAGCTACCGCCTCGTCGGCCGAGGCAGCCTTCTGCTCCAGCTCCTTCAGACGAGCTATCTCTCGGTACTGCCTTTTATGGCTCTCCATGAGCATAAAGGCACTCTGCAGAAACAAGGGAAACAAAAGTCAGGCAAATGATTCTACACGGACGACGAGAAAAACGACACTTACGAAGGAAAGTAACTTACTTGGACGAGGAGGTCCATGCCGCCCTCGTAAATCTTAACGTCCCCGAGCTTCTTCAAGTAAGCCCGATCTTTGGCCGGCATGGCCTGGGCCAGGACGTCGTGGCCAAGGACGACATCATCGAACACACCCCCGCCGACGGGGTATTCTACCATCTTCTGGTAGGTGGCACCGGCTATCTCCTTGTCGGCCCTCTTCGTCCGCGGTTCCTGGACGAGAGGAAGCGATGGGGCAGCATCGCCAGCAACAGTCAGGTCCACGACGGGACCACCATCGTCCACGCTGGGAACAGCCAGAGTACCGGCCTCGGTAGCCGGGGAAGGAGAAGGTGCCCTCTTCGTCTTCTTGGAGACGTTCAGGCCGGCCTCAGTTAATTTCTTCTGGCCGTCAGTGGCCGGCCTCTTCTTCTTCGATTGGGCAGGCCTTGGGGGCGCATCAGTAGTAGCCCTACTCCCACCGGCCGCGGCACGTCTGGCCGCCTCGGCCGCCTTAGCAGCCAGCTCCTCGGCCGCTTTGGCCTTGGCAATAGCCATTATGGAACGCCGGTCCATGGCAAAATCTACAAAGGAAAAACATAACAGATTAGTAAGGCAAAGGACAAAACATAAAGACAGAAAGCCGAAGAAAGAATTACCATCGGTCTCAGCAGGAATGCCCAAATCCGGGCCGTCGACCTCTTCAAAGGTGGTGGTCATCCTCGGCCAGAGTTGGAGGTCATCCTCCTTGTCACCATAGACATGGTACCTCAAGAAGCCGAGGTCGGCCATCTTGTATTCAGTAATGTAATCCTTCACGCTCCTCGGCCCCCCTTCCAAGAAAGCCTCCACCTGAGCGTCCAAAATAGAGCTCTTCGGCGGGTCGTGCAGGTTAAACCTCCCGGTGTGGCCGAGGGAGGGAAACTCGGTGCCACTCTCACCAATGGACACAAACACGAACTTGCTCTTCCACCCATGAATGGACGTAGGCAAATCCGTGAAACTCCTCTTCTTCGGCAGCTGTTGAAGAGTAGCATAGGCTGCACAGTTCTTGTGGCTTCCTCGGCCGATCTGGTACAGATTCATGAATAGTGCCGTTGTCGGCCTATAGCCCAACTCCTCACACCGGAGCAAAAACCCCACCATCAAGGAGTAGCTGTTCGGCGTCAGCAGGGCCGGAGGAAGCCCTACCATGTCTAGGTACTCAGTAATGAAAGGGTGAAGGGGGAACCTCAACCCCTTAGCAAAATTCATCGGGTATACTCCAAAGTATCCCGGTGGTGGAAGAAGAACATGGTCTGTCGGCCTGAGTGCCCTAACCCGCCCGAACGGCCCCACGTACATCTGGGCAACAAGATAGTCGACCGCACTGCTCTCCGGCTTGATCAGGTAGATGTTGGTGAGATCCAGGTAGGAGATGCCCGGCCCACTCTTCGGCCTCCTCACTCTCTTCGGCTTAGCGGCTCCCTTAACGGCGGACACCGGCCTCGGGCACAAAATGACAGCGGAAGTAGACGCCCCGTCCACCACTCGGGACGCACATGCGTCCTCACCCCTTGAAGAAGAGGCGGACTCCTCGTCCTCGACCTCGTCGTCCATCCGCTCTTCGGATTTGTAAGGACTCAAGTGCTCCATCTCCTCCTCGAACTCCTCGAGCACCTCGTAGTCAAGTGACCTCGTGGAGGGTTGGTCGTCATAGGGGTAGTAGTCTTCGTTCAAGCTCTTCATAACTACTACTACGGGCCTAAGGAGACTTAACTTAAGATCTAAGGGTGTTCAAACACCTAACACTAGATCACTAGCCTAGGAAGCAAAATATGAAAAGTGAGGAAGATCGCGATGAACACTAACCTTGAACAACGACCAACACGAAGAACAAGCTTGGGAGTTTATCTCTCTAGAAAAATGGCCAGCACTTCGACAATTCAAGATGCAAATGTGATTTCTCGTCGGAGGGGGAGGGGTATTTATAGAACCCCCCACCCAACGGTCACTACACGTGGCACCCTCCCAATGGCCACATCAGCGGTCGCCAATGGGAGGCCACCACGTCACCAACGGGCCAAAATCAATCAGCCCACCAGCAAAGCAGACCCTACGGCCTACACACGTGCCGGCTTCACAAGTACCAGCAGGAGCCCACATCCCATTTGCTTGCCAGGAGACGGCAACGGCCAGGAACGTAACAAACACCCATAACGGCCACAGAACAAAATGAACAAAGAAGCCCACAGCCATCGGCTCCTCGCACTAACCCTTGATGATAACTCTCTACAAGCGATCTGCGCACAAGGGTTCTCCCACAGGGTTACCTTGGCCAGAAAATCGCCATGAGGGTTGGATTCAGGAGGACTACAGAGAGACCGCTTCGGCCAGGGACTCATGCAACTCCTTCACCCCTCACACTCTTCGGCCTGAAGCAGTGGGGGACTGGAGGACTACATCGGCCTCAACGAAACAAAAAGCAACAATGCAAAGAATATGAATGTAACCACAAAGCATGGCCACATCGTCCACGCATCACAATGGACACATCGGCCAGAGGCACATGACATCATCAACAACGGCCAAAAGGAGTGCACGAGCACCCTCATCGGCCACCCAAAGGAAAGGACGCCATCGTCCTCGAAGCAAGGATCAACTTCAGTGGCCTCATCGGCCCAAACACAAACTTCAACCATCAACGCCCAAGCGAAACGTGCCTTTCAACGGCCGCCATTGAAACAAGACACTTATCGTCGTCAAATGAACACCTTAAGGAAACAACGGCCTCCCCGCCCACAGCGAGGGACAGGTAACGGCCAAAAGCACTAAAGCACAGGAATCTACTCTCCTTCACTTCGTCTACGTCTCAGCTTAGAGAGTGGGGGACTCCTGATGGAGTATATGGGTCTGAGCCCCCGGACCCACATACTCGGAAGAACAGAAAGCACAAGACAACAGAGTGGCGCCCTCGTCGGCCAAGACGCCCCTGTCGGCCGAAAAGGGGCCAACTCGGATTATGGTCCTGAGTCCAAGGAACCCGGGTGCCCTCGTCGGCCGTGCCCTCGTCGGCCGTGCCCTCGTTGGCCACGCCCTCGTCGGCCACGAAGACCTCACAGAATCGGATTTTATACTTATTCATTTGTACAGCCCATTAGTGGCTTTGTATTCGGCCCAGTAGCGGTCCAGTTGTAAATGGGCCTCCCAAGCCCAAGACTTGGGAGCCCAACCCTAATTTTCACTATAAATACTCCCCTTGGGAGTAGTTATAGGAGTTACAAATTCATTCTATTGAAGCATATTATTGCACTTCTCTCTCTAGCTCTCACTTCTCTCTAGATATACTCTATCAATTATTATAGGTATTAATTAATTAAAGAAGCATGGAGTTCAAAGTTTACAGTAAAGCTATAAAAGAAAGCATATTTAATTTGGCCTTATACTTGAACAATATATTTATTCAAATATTTATACATGCGTAGTACTATTTTTGAGTTTTTTTATATATTCATAGTTTTTGAGAAATAGTTGAATACTTTTTTCATATAATAAATTAATAAAAAATGGTTTTCTTACCGGTAATGCAGGAAAATAGGTGCAATTAAGTAAAGATTGTGATATTACTAGAAATTAATTAAAGCAATGTGTATATATTCTTTTTATAAATAATGCGTACTAAAAAAGACAATGTGGTTAGAAGAGTAGATTCCCAAAGTGCAGTTAAGTAAAGATTGTGATACTACTAGGAATTAATTAAAGCAATGTACAAGTCAGTGTCTTCATCATTACTTGACAGGGAAGTCCACTCACAAATGTTTATTGACCAGCTTTGCTACTTCACTACCTAAAAAGATTTAAAGGCATTAACAATCAAAGTAGGAATTCATACATGATCTACAAACAAATTGACTTAAACACGACAGTGACTCGATCAAAGTTAAATAATAATATACTCCCTCCGTCCGAATTGAATTGCAAACTTTAACCGGCACAAGGATTAATGAATGACAATAAATGATGTTTGCTTTTTACATTTTTGTCCATCTTTCTAAAAGTAGATGCCTTTAAATTAATGGGAAAAAGTAAAAGTAAGGGTAAATTTGTCACTTTATTTTTATTCACATACCTAAAATAGAAAGTGAAAAACCATTTTGGGACAACCAAATAGGAAATTTCTCAAATCAAATTGGGACGGAGGGAGTACTACTTTTGTCCCTAAATAGATGTCCATGTTTCCTTTTCCTTTTCGCTCCGTTCCTAAACGGAAGTCTTCTTTCCCTTTTTGGGAAACAAAATAGTGCAAAACCGTGTCCAAGCAATGTCAAAGAATCGCACTTTCTAAAATTGTGCATGAAACAAATAAGGGCTTTTATACAGGGACGGAAGGAGTACTATGTTAGTAGTTTTGGCCTTAAAACACAATAACAAGACTATGATAGAATTTTTAAAACCTGGAATCAAACTTCCTCCGCACATCCTACTGCATGTATCACAAGCCTTTTTATTCCAAAATGTTTCCAAAAATACCATATAAATAATGATGAGCAGCAAAGAAATTGGTTTAAAATGATAGTGGCTACTAATAAGTATGTATAACAGCCCATTAACATTTTAGGTGTTAACACACAATAATAAGGCTATTAAACACGGTCATACGTATTTTAAAAAATCTTAGTAACATGATGACCTTTTGAACAGATTTGTTTGTAATTTTACAAAAAAGGTGCGTTTTATTTTAAAATTGATGATTTTATTTCCAAATGTTTAAACTGATGCTATGTAACAGATACATATCAAATAATTCAAATAATACCCAAAATAGAGTTTGGAGTATACTCATCACAATAGCCAAGGCCGGGATACCACTCCAATACATTGAGCGTATACAGCGAATGGCTAGGTCTCCGTCCGAGGAACCAATTCATCGACCAAGATGCAGTGAGCCAACTGGAAACCCGAAGAATTCCACATAAATTTGTTTACATATACAGATAAACTGATGACTCATAGTTGTTGATTTTGTTACGATTTAGGTTAAGTAAACGATAAATTAAAAGAGCAAGAACACAAGAATTTACGTGGTTCACACAATCGGGGTGATTGTGCTAGTCCACGGCGAATGAGAGAGAGATGTATATTATTATGTCTGCGTCAGGGTTTACACGTACATTAGAGTCGTTTAAATAGGTTTAAGTAAACCTAAACAAAGATTAGAGCCGCAGACCCAAAAATTAAGCCCGTAATTAAGATTAACCCGTAGACCCGGTCGGGTCTCCTATTTTACCCGGTCGGGTGACTCCTCAAAAGACATACCCGGGTAGACACCAGGGCGGGTATCCTAAACAGAAGCCAAAACCTTCCACGGTCGGGTGACTGACCCCACCCGGTCGGGTATCTCCTGCTGCTGCACAAACAAGACTCCATCTTCAACAGATTTATGGCAAAGACCGTTGATTTTAATGAAACAACTATGGAGGCTTGGACTTAGACAGGATCGACGGTTAAATTGAACTATTGAGTCCACGCGGTCGGACGATTGAAGGTAGAAGAAGAGGCAAGACGGAGATTGAAAGGTGATAAATGAAGGCAGGAGAAGAGAGGCAGAGAGCATCGTATTAACGGATGTCTCTCCGCTGACCGCAGGTTCTAGAGTGAAGATGGTTAAATGTGAAGTTTTGGATATAAAGATTTTATATAGTTAGGGGTTCGTATTTGGGTTGTGGGTTGGGATATTAAAATGTGTTATTGGGTTAAGTTTATCCCAAAAATATTTGAGAAATTGATAAATCAAAATCCTTTTTTGTAAATCTTTCCAATATTACATTAGTAATATTATTGCACTTATATTAATAAATTATGTATGTTTTGTATATTTTTGAAATGGTATCATTAAAATACCTATTTATATATAATTACACTTATATACTATTGATTCAAAATATATCTAATTTAAAGGAAAGACAGGGTGGAACTCTGGACATGAAATAAATTGTGATGTTACATCAAAATAAATAGATGTAATTCTGTCACAACGTAATGCATTTGAAGGTGCACTTATTACCATTTTATTTAGTTAATTCACTTATTATTATTTTATTGATTAGGAATTGTAATGATCAAAAAGTACAGATTCCATCCACGATTAACATCTATTCCTTTTGATGCGAGAATATCATTCAAGTTTGAAAGAAGACAATTTCGATAATAACTTTTTATGCAATGACAATAAACAAAAGCCAGTATTTACTCAAGTCAACTTTATGTTGCAGTGTCAAGAGTTATTATTCATAAATGTTTGAAAATACTAAAATAATCAACAAATTCACAATACCACTAATGTTGTTTACACTATATTCTCACCCGTGCGATGCACGGATCGCAATTTAGCATCAATTATATTGTAATCTTAGATAACGTTATCAGCTGAAATATTTTAAAAAAATCATATGTGTAGATATATTAAAGAATTATTATTTTTGAATGTGTATTAAAGAATAACAGTAAATATAATATTAATGAAAATTCATATAAGAAGTTATAAACTTATAATTAGGAATGGTCTCATGAAAACTGGTGGAAACAATATTTAAAGAAAAAAAATATTTGCCCCTATATGTCCCACTAAATTTTGGCACTATTAAATTTTCTTGGTCAATGATGATCCGATTTCATTGATGATATGTAATAATGTTTTTAATACGAAATTAATTCAAAAATGAGAAGTAATCAAAAACATTCTTTGTTAAATGTACTTTTACAAAAGTATAAAATTTATGAGCCCATTTGGTGACCCTATTTAATTAACAACCTTATTAGTCAACTTTTTCACGAAATCACGCAGAGCCCGTTTGGTGACCCCATTTTTCGAAAATCGGTTGATTTGACTGATTCTGCTAAAATTTGTAAAGTTCTGGCTGAAGTGGCTGCATTGGCTGATTCTGCTGATTTAAGAAAAAAATATTTTTAAAATATATTTTATTAATAAAATAAAGAAAAAAGTATATGTAAAAATAGCTAAAATGGTCATCTACAATAACTTCAGCCAATATAGCCAAAAAAGTAACTCCGACCTTACTTTTTCTGCTTATTACACAATTCAGCGCGCGAAAGCAAAAGTTACGTGTTTGGTGAAAAGTTGGCTGATAAACATGATAAGCCGAAAAATAGTGTTGCCAAACGGCCTCTTTGTCTTCTTAACTATTTCAAATTGCATATATAAAATATTAGATAGATTCTATGGTACCCATAAGATACTATATCTTTGTCCACATGGACCAATGAGAATGTTGCAGTTGAATTATTTAAATCGAAATTAAAAATGATGTAATGATGTGGACCAATCAAGTGAATGATAGGTACGGTACCTAATTTTTTAAATGAGTACCGGAGTTGTCACCAAAATATTATTATGTAGCTTCGTTCTCTTTTCACACGAGTGAAAAGGTGACCTTAGTTTAATTTTCGCCTTATCAAACTTATTAGCCAGACCACTCACGTAACTTTTGATTTCGCCCGTTGAATTGCGTAATAATAAGAGGTTACTTTTCTGATTGTATTGACTGAAGTTACTGTAGAAGATCATTTTAGATATTTTTCATATAACTTTTTCTTTATTTTATTAATCTAATTATCTTTCATAAATAATTATAATCTGCCGATCTAGCCACTTCATCCGTAACTTTATAAATTTAAGCAGAATCAGTTGATTCAGCTAATTTCTGTGTTAACAAATGGGCTCACATTTTATTTTTATGATAATATCATGCACTTCCCCTATCTCAAAATAAACTTCAGTATTCTTTTTGTCTATTCTAATATCTATTTTCTTTCTTTTTTAACAAAGAGTAGTGATTCATAACTTTTTTGTTTCATCTACACAACTTTAAACAACAAAATTTCTACCTTTTACTTTGCCAAATCAAAATGAATTAATTATGAGGCGAAGAGAGTAACATTTTCATTTTTATCATTTTATAAAAACGCTTGCTCCGTGCATCGCACGGGTGAAAAACTAGTCCTCTTTAATGGTAAAAACATGTCCACTCCCCATAAGTAGGATGGACCACGTCCACCGCTCCCGCAAGGTCGAAGCCCGGAACCTGCAGGACAGGTTCACGAGACAGGACGGTTTGGTTATAGGATCAGTGCCAGACTCATGCCCCACTGGCACCGGTCTCAGATTTGAATAATGGGCCGGTCCCTGTTCGGCTGTAGTCTAATGGCTATTTTTTCTTTTTTTCCCATTGGCTCATTCATAGAGTCATTAGGGGGGGCATTCGGTATCCTCTAGTGGCTCTTAAGACGGTTAGAGGAGGTG